AATCCTTTATTCAAACAGTACATTTGTATACATGAATTGTGTCAAGTCAAGAATAAACATAACTACAGGGTGAATAAAAAGTCAAGACCCCCCAATCTAATATTTTTCCAAGTAAATATACAGAGATATCCTTTTGGGGGTCGTGCAATCTTAGCAGGAAGTTTCATTTTATGATTTTGAAATTTTTGAGTCTCCCCCCAAAAGGGGGGATTTGGGGGGTAACTCAAATATTTTAAATGTAAGCCCCCTTCAAGTGACACCCCATTTTAAAGTTTTTACAAAAACTTAAAGAATGGTGAAAACTATAGGTCGCTATCTCTTCTCTGACAAAAATGGTAGCCCGTCAAATGTTGTGGAAAATCAATGGTAAAATTGGTTCGTAATTGTAATATTGGCTACCATTTTGGATAGAGAAGAGATAGCGAACTCTGGTTTTCACCATTCTTTAAGTTTTTGTAAACACTTCAAAATGAGGTGTCACTAAATGGGGGTTTACGTTTAAAATTTTTGAGTGTCCCCCCAAAAGGGGGGATAGGGTGGGCAACTAAAAACTTTTTAATGTAAAACCCCATCAAGTGACACCTCATTTTGAAGTGTTTACAAAAAACTTAAAGAATGGTGAAAACCAGAGTTCGCTATCTCTTCAGTATCCAAAATGGTAGCCAATATTACAATTACGAACCAATTTTACCATTGATTTTCCACAACCTTTGACGGGCTACCATTTTGGACAGAGAAGAGATAGCGACCTCTAGTTTTCACCATTCTTTAAGTTTTTGTAAACACTTCAAAATGAGGTGTCACTTGAAGGGGGTTTACATTTAAAATATTTGAGTTACCCCCCAAATCCCCCCTTTTGGGGGGAGACTCAAAAATTTCAAAATCATAAAATGAAACTTCCTGCTAAGATTGCACGACCCCCAAAAGGATATCTCTGTATATTTACTTGGAAAAATATTAGATGGGGGGGTCTTGACTTTTTATTCACCCTGTATACATTGATATACATAACTATTGATTTGACATACTAATAGCTAATTGAAAATTTCCCCGATCTTGTAACAGCATTTATCTGACAACAATTTGAATAAACTGGTTTTAAATCTTTTAAAATCTGTCAAACCCTTTATGGTGCTAGGCAGGCTATTATAAAATTTTATACCAGAGTAATATGGAGAATGTAAAACGAATAAGAATGAATAAGAATGTAAAACGTGTTGTTACAATAACCGTTTGAGAAAATTTTAATTTTGGTTTTGTAAATATTTAGGGGTGAGTGTTACAACCTAATAAATTGATTATATGGAGCCCTGCAAGCTTCAAAATATAAAAAAGCTATGATTTTATACGTATTTATAAATACATGCTTCCAGAGCTTCTCGCCTTTGCATACTTAGTAGGTTGTAAATGCTTAAATACATATGTTGATACCCAAATGCTGTGTTGTAAAATGTAATATTGCTTAAAATTTGTCCTCTACGCTAGGCATGAGCCCGGGATTGTTTTTCACATCCCTTCAGGCTTAGAGTAATTAAACATAACATATTTTGTTTTATTACTCTGAGCTTCAGGCTAGACCTAGGGGTTACGGCATTTTCATTTACGAGATTTTCATCCGGGACCTGTTGAACCGATGTCCCGCGCTCTAACCACTAGACCAGATCCCCAATATTGTTTACAAGAATACCACGCGTGTTAATAAGCCCGTTTTAAACTTCACTTGGTTTTGCATTTTCTTACAAAACGTGATCAGGAATGATTTCCGTATTTGCAAACAACATTTAATGTAAACATCCATCCTTTATCCAAACCGCTGTTCATTACTTCATATTATGTCATATTCTCTAAGCAGATGAATTTATCATTAATGTTTCATATAAAATAAAATAAAATCTATATATATAAAATCCAATGTATGTTTGTATGTATGTTTGTTTGTCCTTTATGGACTCCGAAACCGCTCGACAGATTGTAATGAAACTTTCAGGCATTATTAAGCATTATTCAAGGATGGTTTGTGTGAAGTTTGGTGCAAATCCATCAAAAGGGCTCCGTCCCAGTGGCTCTGGAGTTTCCCATGTTAACCTTATGAGTACTCATATTTAAATAGAATTAAAGAATCTTAACAGCTGGTTCAACTAAGCAATTTGATTCTGTGATGTTCAATAGTATTAAAAAGTTAATAAGTTTACCAACAGGGTGCAGCACGATAATTTTTGTTTTTTTATTTATGACAACAGTTAATTTGCAACCAAAAGGTGAGTGAGCGTAGCGAACGAACTTCAACCTGGAGGCGAGTTAGCGTAGCGAACGAGCTAACCTGAAGGCAAGTGAGCGCAGTGAACGAGCTCCAACCGAAAGGTGAGTGAGCGTAGCGAACTAACTTCAACCAGGATCTTGAAAATGAACAAGCATTTGACATAAAACCACATTAGGACAGGACGACGTCTGTCGGGCCAGCTAGTATAAAATAAAATTATAAATGCCTCAAATTCAATTTTATAACTTTTCTATTAAGTATAAAAGAGGATGTTGGTATATTTGGCAGTGATAAACTCAGACACCGCTGGACCGATGGCCACGAAACTTGGTACATGGTACATACGTGTAGAATTTCATGGAATAGGTTTATACACCATCAATTTCTTGATCCGTCCAATCGGCTCCGCCCCAGTGGCTCTGGAGTTTCCCATGTTAACTTTATGAGAAATGGAATTAATGAATCTTAACAGCTGTTTCAATTAAAAAGTTGGTTCTGTTCTATGATGTTCAATAGCATTAAAGTTACAAGGATTACCAACAGGGTGCAGCACTATTATTTCTTTACATTTATGACAACAGCTAATTTGCAACCAAAAGGTGAGTGAGCGTAGCGAACGAACTTCAACCTGGAGGCGAGTTAGCGTAGTTAACGAGCTAACCTGAGGGCAAGTGAGCGTAGCGAACGAGCTAACCTGAAGGCAAGTGAGCGCAGCGAACGAGCTCCAACCTAAAGGTGAGTGAGCGTAGCAAACGAACTTCAACCAGGACGTGATTGAGCCATGAGAACGAGATCATCTTGAAAATTAAGAAGTTGAACGGGGCAAAGCCCGCGGGTTAGGCTACAGCTAGTTTATTATAAAATTAATATCATAACCTAACCGAACTAACCAAACTTGCTGATAATGAAATAATATAAAAAAGTTTGTTAATAGAAAAAATCATTCTGTTCATTAAATAAAACTAGAATTTGCTCAATTAAAAGCTTATAATGACTAAAATAAAATTAAACTGTCATAACCGAACCAAACCAACCAAACTTGGTGATAATGAAAAAATCTTAGTCAAAAAGTTAGTGCCACCAGCGGGATTCGAACCCGAGACTCACTGCATATCAGCCCGGCACGCTAACCACTAGACCACCGAGGCCGATGGCTGACAGCCGTATTGTTACGGTAATGGTGTTCCCTCTGCTATGATGAGATGAGAAGCCCACAGCTGTCATCGTAACCTCATCTATACCTCCCCTGAGTAAATACCGAAAAATCATAAGGTTAACATGAGAAACTCCAGAGCCCGAAAGCCCGATCAGAATAAAAACTGCTTAGTTTTCCTATTAATTTCCCAAATAATCGATGTACCGAATTTCAGCCTCCTAGGTAAATGGGAAGTGGGAGAATTAGTGATGAGTGAGTGAGTGAGTGAGTCAGTCAGAGAGTAAGTGAGAGCTTTGCCTTTTATATATTTAGATTACGATTACAATCAGGTGATTTTTTTGCAATCTGGGTGACGTCAGCATATGACTGGAATAGCACTCCAATGAATTTTCCTTTCACCATAGGGACAAACAATATTTAGAAATAATTAAAAATTCCAAAAATATGTAACTCCAACTGTAAATTTAAGTTGCAGAATATTTACATTGCATAGCAGTTATTTCAATAATTTTTATCGTGATATTTGACAAAAATATTTAAAAAGATAATCTTTGAGATGTATTCGAGCATTATTCATTAAGTCATTAGCTGAGTGTGCAGTTGCCTAGGATATTCATTACATACAGCATTAACATTTCATAAATAACTTCATAAAAGTTATAAAAACAACTCTTTGGGTTTCAAGACAGATGAAAACCCCCGGTGCCAAAATCCAAAAGGTGAAAAATGTTAGCAATGTTTAGAGCTTTAAGTATTTTAAATATGATGGACTATGAGCTTATGAATTTCAGTACATTTAAATTGGCTGATATTACAGATAGGCCCTACTGGTTTGTAAATTTAAATAGTTCCTCTCTGTCCATTTGTATGATATAGCCTAATTTCATACTGTAACATAAATTTTCCTATTAAACATTTCGCTTTGATTGTCAACAAGTTTTTTTTCCTTTACCATACTAAATACTTGTAATTTTTGTTTTATGTGCTGATTTATGTTCTGTTTAAGCACCAGAATAAACGTTAATCTACCGTTTAAACTGAAGTGTAGTTGAAAAATTTACCAAAAATATGTAATGAACAGACTTATTTTTTTTCAATGTTGAGGGAAATGTTGAGATAACAGTTGTAGAGCTAATTATCCACAACGTTCTCGCTGGAAGTGTGTTTGAACCTTAAAATTAAAACATATTTCCACAGAGCGAATGTTTTGAATTTTGTTACCTCTTTAACAATTTCAATACATAATATTTGTTTGTTGACAAATTAAACCAAAAAGTTTACACAGTTTTATTCAGCGTTTAACACCAATAATAAATATATAACTTTTACATTAGGTGTATTAAACGAGAAGGGGACAGGGTGTTGTGTTGATATCAAGCTCGACGGTTGGACAGAACCGCGAGCTCTGCAAGTCGGTAAAGCAGTATTTTACCGCTACATGGGCGCACTCTCGCCCAGCGCCGACAGAACTAACTGTAGCAGCCCAGCGGCCGGCTACAAAACTGCCATTTAAAAATGGCTGGGGATGCTACTCTGTTTTGTTTTATTACTCTGAGATAGAACTAACAAAACAGTAAGACTTACAGCAAATTTTTGAGAGTGAAGAGGTGACTTGAGATGTACAGATGCACAATGAAGATCTCCAATCCATGTATCACAGAGCTTGCAATACCAGGCCGTGGCAGATACAAAGAACTGGAGCCCTACAAAAAACAAGAGGCCATTAAGTCAGATGTTGGTACAAAGGCAAGTGCTGAAACACAGGTACGACAAAAGTTAAATTTATTTTAAATTGTAACTAAGAGGATGATTGTAATCTTGTCCTGGAATTTCAAAAAATGGAATGAACTTGTCAATTTGAAATAGAATTTAAAATAATAACTAATTAGGCTATCATAACTCTGTCTGTAGTCCGAAATTTCCAATAACAACTATGGTGGTGACTAGTTTATTTGCAAGTGCAATATTGTCAAAGCGAGCAACAGGTCAATGAATCAAAATAAATATATTAAAAAAACACTAAACACAAGATAAAACCAAAAACGATATCGCTCGACTTGACAATGTTGATCATACAACAAAACTGGTCAGCACCATATTGTGGATGAAATATTTGGACTACAGACGGAGATATTTAGGTTACATTAGGTTAGCCTAATTATCATAAAACAAGTCCAAGGGCTCGATGGATTGTAAGAAATACATAGACCAAGTTTTGGTTCATACAAAAATGTAATTTTCATTATGTCTTCTAAGTCAACATACTGCTTCCTTTGTGTATTTGTACCACATTTTCCTAATGGCTTCAGCGGTTGAATGGGTTGGCCTGCTATACGCCGCCGTCAATATAATATCTGTCAACTTGGTAAAAGCATTGTGTCTTTGACTATTGATAGAACTAGATATTCCATCCCCATGTTCAAGTTCTCGTCAGTTTAAAAAAAAATGGACTTAGTTGAAGTATGCTATCAACAGGTTGCGCTGATGATATAAATTAATCATTTTGTCAAATGTGCAGACTTTTTTACAATTTAAACTAAGTTTAAGCTATAACATATTTTACGTTACTTCAACTATCTCAGTACCAAACAAAAAATAAGGTGAAAGTTTAATTCTAGGAACTAGCGCAATCTGTGACAGGCTCACAGAACTATGTTATTTTTAATAACAATTTGACAACAGCTGGTCTTTACAGATAAGATGTCTACTTCAGTATCCAGGAGACAATTATTGAGTTAAATGAGAGCTGTTATACTAGGTGGCACGAGCTACATGTCTGTGGCGGACTAGATTCACGGTAACCCACCAAAAAGACACAGAAGCATGCGCCCTCGCTTGCAACAACATATTACAGGGGTGCTGTTTAGTGCCAACATTGGGATATAATCCCTCTTTAGTGGAGGATTTGATTCTTCATAGTAATGCAGGATCAACAAGTACAGTATTTACTCCAAACTATGAAGGAAAGTTTATTAACTATAAAATTGACGTTTAAGTGAACAGTTTTTAAACTTGTCATTATTATCACGCAGTTGGCACAAGTTTCTGTACGCACCATTGCTAGATTATTGTGTAAACTAGGGGTCTGCGGTGCACCGAAAAAGTCTGTACGGTACGGTACAAGCTTCATTACCAACATCGGTTCGGTACAGCATTTTACACGGTACAAATTCGGTTGGGTACAGCCTATTATAATAATAAATTACTTTCAGTTTACTAGTAGTCAACGGTACAAATTCGGTTGGGTACAGCCTATTATAATAATAAATTACTTTCAGTTTACTAGTAGTCAACGGCAGTTGGTTCCGAGAACATAAAAGTCTTATCAGATGTTTGCTTTGATCTTCATAATTTATTACTAGGTTGATGATGCAATAAAAAACCCATTAGCAGTCCCAAATCCCATTTTATCACGACAATAATTGTTGTATTCAAGTACTTCCAAGAACTATTGAGTGTTATCACTTTTATTTCTTTACGACTTTCCCCAATTCTGTTTTATCATAAAAATAATAGTTTTATGATGACTGTTAAATGTTATCTCTAACTCAGTCAGTATTTTCGTGAATATTCAATTTGCCGCTGGCCATTGCCTACTGCCATAAAACTGTTTGTGGCTACATATATTAAACTTGTAACTAATCTACAATCTTATTTTATAAGTTAAAATATTTGTTATGGATATTTTATCTTTCTATTGACGAAACCACAAGCATAGTTGTTGTTTGCATATTTTTTTTCGTTATGCAAGCCTACTCAGTCTCAAATTATGTCATTGCATGTTCTGTATCTTGTCTTATATTGTTAGATGTGGCTGTTTAAGGCTTAAATGTTTTTTAGTTTCCTGTTTAAGCAATCTAAATCGTATGAACTAGATCGTGATTTTGCTACCCTCATTGTAACCCTCAATTTATATATAGGCCCTCCTAAATAATTAGGTCTAGGCCTGGGTCTTTTGATTCTTTGGAAGAGCTCAAACCTCCAGTTTTTCATTGTCGTCTGCTGTGAACAGCTGGCAAAACTACACTGTCTTCGTACTGAATGCTTTTATATGTTTTTAAAAATTAAAAAACAACTAGAGATTGTGTTGGTTGGAAATAATAAACCAGTTTTGTGAAATTATCTTGTCAATAAATGTTTCAAACAGGTTTGTTCATAAAAACTCTTATCCTATTTTTAAACCACTTTATCATGACTATTCAAAGTATCTTAGAGTAAAATAGGTAAAGCCTTTATCTTAACTGTGATTTTTCTTGACACAATCCTCGTAGTAGTAAAAGGTTTTGTTTTAATAATGTGTGGTACAGTAATTGTTGTTAGAAAACCATGAATGTAGGATACTATACATTTTCTTAGTAATGTCAATGTATTAAAGTTAAAAATAATGGTTTGGATACAGTTCTGAGAAGAAAACCGCAAAAATACGGGTAGCCGCGTACCGTACCGATTTTGTACCGAGAACCGAGGTACAAATTATTGTACCGTACCGAACCGTACCGACCTTAAATTTTCTGTACCGCAGACCCCTAGTGTAAACGTAAAAAGATTAGTGCCTTTTATGACCCCTTTTTGTCTTTAGCTTCAACGTAAGCCACAGAACGTGTATAGATGCTCTCATCTCTTGATCGCCTATTACAATATGTAAAGGCCAGATGACACAGAAGTGGAAGGTCAGAAATCTGTTAAATATGAAAATGTGCATTTCAAGCAATTTCTCCATCGGAAAGCAAGACACGAAAAACGGTACTGTACCAAAAACAATTTTGCAGATCACATAGGCTTCTTTCTTCATTTACATGAACATTTAAACTAATGAAAATATTTTTAAGGAAGTAAAACATAACCAAATCAGAATTTTTTTATTTATTTACAAATGTTAAATGTTGATTCTGTAACATGTCAAATTCAATTGACAGCAAATTGTTTTAAAACTTAACTAAACTATTCTAAGAAAACAGGACACACGAACAAACAATTTATTTTTTATAATTTTATAACGCTACAAAACTTATGCCAAGGTTTACATGTATTACTTAATTTAGGATTAGGAACAATTGCCAAAGCTTAAGGACAGTTAACTAAAAATATAAGGGTTGAATAATCAAACAAAGCCAGTTTTTTATTTTCAATTTACTCAACAAAATATACAAAGTATTGCTACACAATTTTTACAAAAGAAAGACAATAATATGTCATGTGTAGATAGTCGTCTTGCAGCATGATGCCATTGCTGATCTTTGTCCAAGCAAAATGAACTTCCTCTTCACATATTTTAACAACCAGGTACCCAAAGTGTTTTTCTAAAATCTTATTTATTAGTAACTAATAATTAAGATTTTCAATAATTTCATCTAATGTACTTAGTTTTATTTTCTTTACACAAGACGTTGTGAGATTGATTTTAATTAGTTTTAACTAAACTCATAGCCTATTTATAAAATGTAATTACCATTGTATTATAATGGTCCAGAATAAAGAAGTTGTCTTATTCAAGGAGCTATATTAAAACTAGAATGTTGTTCATAAAATACTGATTACCAATAGATTCTGAAAACATCTTATAACATTGTAGAATGGTAAAAAATATTTTACACGGATATTGTAGAGGCTGTGATTTTCAAGTCTAACTTGCTAGTGTTACTACCTCTAGCTCATAATATGTGATATAAAATGAAACTATATTTAGTTTGTTGTTGAACTTTTAAAAATTGAATCCTAAAATAAGGCTTTCTCCAATAACTCACTATTCAACAAGTTTGAAAAACTTTACTTGGTCCATAAAAAATCCTAGTACTTTAGAGTACAAACTAGATTTTGTAGTATTAAAATTAAAATCACAGCCTTCTACAACCAGGTAAGACTGAATTGTTGTCAGAATATTTCTAAAAGATACACATTACAAAAAAAGTAGATAACTAACAACATAAAAGCATGGAATATTGTATATACATGCATTTTAAATTTGTTGTATCAAACTTTTTACGATACCTTTGATTGGAACTCTCTTCGTAGGAGCATCTTTAGGCACAGAGGTTTTCTCTTCGACTTGCTTGTTGTGCCAAGGCAGATCCACCAGTTTCCGATCCTATTAAACAGTATTAGTTTATTTTAGATATTGTACAAATTAAACCTTATTACTAATAAATCATAGTAAAACATACTTGATTATCAGTATCCAAAGTAATCAAATAATCCTAAAAAATTACAATCCACAACTTGTTTATACCCAAATAAAAATAACTACCTTTAGGGCGGGTTTCTGATTCAGGTATTAGTGCTAGTCTTAGACTAAAGCTCATTTTAGTACTGGACTAAGAAAAATATCTTTCTGATTCGAGTACTTATAAGTCAGCGACTAATCTTAGTCAAGAACTAGTTTTTAAGTCTGGACTAAAGAAATTATGCTTTAGTCCACGGACTAAAACATGCTAGATTTTAATCCTGCATAGGGGTAGGATTAATTTTAGTCGTCCACTTTTAACCTAAGCCATTTTTGTGTGTTAAAGTTTAATGTGATTATAGATTACATTGATTATCATGATTTTTACCGTTTTCGTGGGCCGCGAATTCGTCGTGAGCGGAAAAACAATCCATTTGATGACTTAAGTGAGGTTGAATTCAAGGATAGATATAGATTTTTAAAAAACTCTGTAATAGAACTAATTGAATTGGTAAGGCCTAGTTTGAAAGGCACTTCCACAAGGGGAACTAGGTTACCTTTGTGGAAGAAAGTGTTGGTAGCGTTGCGCTTTTTTGCAAGTGGGGCACTTTTGCGGGAAGCCGGCGATCTAACTAATATTTCAGAATCATCGGCATGCCGCTATGTGCCTAAAGTGGCATTGGCAATATGCCGTGAATTGAGACTACATCAAGAGCTTTTACCCCCACCCAAAACCTCTAATTCCCACTGGTCCCCTAAGTTAAATGGTAGAGGTTATTGCTGATATATATGAAATTGTAGGGGTCAAAGGAAGCCTCGACAACAAAAAAGTCATTTGAGAAAGTTAGTTTTGGTGTCTAGGAACAGTTTAAACACGTCTTATAGAACATTTTAGGTGATTGGGAGAACAAGGATTGGTGCTGATGAAAAGCAAAACTTATTTTAGAGTAGTTTATTAGACAGTGTGTAAAGAGACTTCCGTAACTTATCTGTTGTCAAGAACAACCGAATGAAATAATTGATTAGGTATTCGATATTTCAATTATTTCATTGTTTTTTTTTTTAAGGCTAGGGTAGGCCAGTAAGTTAGTAGGCCTACCGGTAATTTATGACTCCCTGTTGAAATTACCTGAGCATTATTGCAATAAGCCTATTCAAACTATGGCTGCACTTTACTTTACGTCCAACACTCATTGGAATGAAAATATCGATCGATATATTGATTATTCGATAAGTTATATCGTTTAGTTAGTTACGTAAGGTTAACCTAACCTAATTAACCAAACGATATATCGAATGAAACAATCGAATAACCGATATCTTAATTCGAAGGAGTGTAGGACGTAAAGTGCAGCCAAAAGAAATAGGATGAAACACCAATCCTACCTTTAAAACACCTTTAAAATTTTACGATACAACTAGTTTATAACAATAATAAAATATATTACAATGATAAATGAATTAAAACAGAAATAAACCTCAAAACCAATGTGTTTGACTGAGATCGTTGTTTGTTTACTTTTTTAGAGCAGTCAGCAGTGCGCACATCAAACTGACAGTGTTGCCAGCACGGCGGCACAAATTACCCTACATTTCCCTTGAAAATCATGAGCTCTTTTAATCTCTGACTAAACTAAGTACCCGCTTTAAATTAGTCCGTGTGTCCTTAATCCTTGACTCAGAAAGTGATTTTTAGTACATGACTAATTTTAATCCATGACTATCCCTGACTCAGAAACCCGCCCTTAGAGTTATGAATTTAGCCCGTGACTTGTCAACTGATATCCACATCTATTTTCCCTTTTTCCCTGGGGACCTCCTGGCAGTAAGAAAAAATTGTGAGCATTGGCCATGATAGTGACAGTATCGTATATTTGCAAATAAGTAGTATGCAAATAAGTCAAATTATACTCAATTTATGTTCGGGTTTAAGGGAAAGATTCAAGCTCTTGGTGGTGATTGTATGATGGAGTAAAGGGGGTTTAATCACAATTGCCCTCGCATAAATAATTATATAGTTCGGCCGCTTAGAAAATGACCTGCGCGCTAATACTAAACCAATGCTGGAGGAGGTCACTTTCTAAGCGGCCGAACTATAGTAATGTTTCTAAAAAACCAACACGGATGTTTACTTGAGACGATGTTAGAATTACTAGTGATCCACTTTTGTAAATCTGCCAAAGTTCAAGATGAGAAGACTAAGGACAAGGGCCATGTGGTTGCCTTGAGTTACATTTATATTACGGTACAGAAAATGCCTTTTTCGTGCTATTTTCTAAGAATGTGAATTGCCACCACAGTTAGTAGCACTATTTTCAAATGAAAATGTAAAAAATATCTTTGAATAAGCATATCCAAAGCTATTCTGACAATGTTTCTAATTGATTGCAACAGTGAACAAAACAAGAACCAAGCAACACTTCTAATAAGATGTAAAAAAGGCTACAATTGACTTAATAGATGATTATTTGAACTTTTTCTAGATGATTATGTCAATTTCATCTGAGCTAAAGATATTAAAAGTGATATTAGTAAATAAACAACCGTCAGTCAACTTTAATAGCAGTAGATGTGGATAGGACTATTAAAAAAAAAAAACAAAAAAAAACATTGCTTATTATTACCAACAAAAATTTGTAAAAGCAATATTTTAGGAATCTATAAATTCTATATCATAAAAGATTTCTGTTACACTCCTACCTGTGTGTACACTCCTATGTGTGTATACCTATAAGTGAGTCCTAATATTTTGATAAGATTTTCAAGATGATTTACTTAATATTATAAAATAAATAAAATTTGAATAAAATAGAGTGCACAAAACTTACGGCAAGGTACTGTTTATGTTCAGGAGCGTGCAAGTGGTTCAAAAACTCCTTGGCTGTGCGAGGAAAAACATTGCACACTCTGCACCAGTGAAGTTCCGGATCAAAATGGATAATATTGAACTTTTCCTCCTCCTTTATTTCAGTTGCAGTCTCTGTTTTTACAACTGCTGGTGGAGGAGGAGGAGTCATTGGTCTTCCAACCTTAGGACTTATCGGACTTTGAACTTTCATGTCCTGAATAGGTAATCTCGGTTTTACAAGTATCGGTATATCCAACTTCGGAAGCTCCAGCGGTGGATGAAAGGCAGGAGGTTCCATCTTGAGTGGTTCAACTTTCTCCTTTATCGGTTCAGCAGGTTTCAAAGGTGGCTCTTGCCTAAACCTCTTGAACTCTGGCTCAGGGATGAGTGAGTCGTCCATACCCAGCCCTGGTATTGACATTAACTTATTCTGCTGTTCATGAGGTCTGGACTCCTGAGGCTTCAGCCACCATGATGGAATCTCCGGCATCTGTTCCCCGGGAGGTTGGTCGTTCACTGGCGGAGGATTGGTCTGCCAAGTAGATCTCGGCGGTGAGTCAAGAGCTATTACCTGAAAGTTATGCGGAGATTAAACCAGAGGAAAATATTTACAGTGTTACAATGAAATGTTGTAACTCATCGTTTGGTAGATGAATACAAAAATAAAAACCACCATTTCAATATTTAAAATGCAAGAAATAAACTAAAAATTTAAATAAGTAGTAGAAATGTATACATAATATTACTTGAGAAATTTAACTAACAACCAGGACAGAAGTCACTTATGTTAACTGCTAGACTAACTCCACCTTGCCGTTTTATCTTTTTTGTTTAGGTTTTTGACTTGTGTGAGAGACAAAATATATTTTAATAACAATGAGGAAACGGAATGTTTTTCAATTTGTAGGAACAAATAAAAAATATTTAACCTGACTTATGTACATTAGAGAAGTAAGAATATACAGTAGAACTCCTATCATCCAAATCAATTGGGATCACACAACATTCGGATGGTTGGATTTTTACAGAAATGCATGGCATTTTATAGATAATAGGCAGAGTTAAGTCGAGCTTTTACAACCATTTTTACACATGTGTCATTCCCAACATGTATAAACATTTTTCAAAAAAATTTCAGGCTTTTGCCGCCAATTGCGGAGGACGATTATGGTTTAAAGGAAGATAGTTATGATTTTGCCACAATTAGGCCTACGGAAAAAGATTAAGATTTTCCTTGATCGCATAAGACAATAATGATGTTTACAACAGTATGGAAGATGTTAATAGATTTAGCCACATATGGAAAATAATAACGAGTTTTCATGACCACATGAGACTATGACCAAGTCTACACGACTGCAGTGTGTAAATTGTAAATTGCCTGGTAATCAAACGGTCGCCGCTTCGATCCTGAGAAAAGTGTGTAGATTTTTTATGGTTCGAAACTGGACCCAGATGTCTTCGATCATTGGACTTTCAATAAATGGTCCTGACTAATTCAACAGCTGATCTTAGTCAGTAACAAAGCTACACAAGGCATCACACCTCATTCTAAACTCATACTACTCATATTTGGGTTAGAATAAAATACGCACATAGGTGGCGTCCCCAGCCTAAATGAATATGAAAATATGAATAATATTCAGGAGATATTCAATATTTTACTGCGAATGCAAAAAATGGCGATGATATTTCCATGAATTCAGGAGACAATGATGATGTCTCAAGACCGGGAGAGATTGTTGACTTTGTCGCGATCACAGATTCTGTCTTCTCTAATAACGATTCTTATTACTGTGGTTTTAAGATTTGTAAATTGTTTCTGTAAACAATTCAGGTAGTCAGTGATTTAGATAGTTGGAATTCTACTGCTTTTAATTATAAATGCTCATATTCCTGTGTCACTTTTTTCACAAATCTTACCTTTAAAGCAGAAGTAACAAAAAACCACTTACACAAGTGACATTTTCAGTTTGCCGTCCAGGCCTAAGATTAACCTAGAAGATTGATGATATGTTACAACAAAATAAAAATCTTTACTAAACATAAGTTAACTCAAAGACTAAACTAGCAACAATATACCAAATAAATGAAAAAATAAGGTTTTTTTTCTTAATGGTTTACTTTGAAATTGCTTTAACCTTTAACCTGAAAAATTTTAAACAGATATAAATAATTTACAAAGGACCTTTGATCAGCAAATTAAATGTATAAAGAAAACAAGAGAAGGTCTGTTTGTTTTGCAACTTTTAGTGAGCTCAACATCTAGTCAGATAAACAATGGGAAAATTGATTTTGTTATCTATTCCACTTTAGATTCTACAGATCAATGTTGGAAATATACAAATCTAGACCCTTACTTATATCCTATACAAAATGTCCCTGATGTTCAAGCATTGGTTAGTTATTGTATTTGTTCATAGATATTTTATTTTAAAGATGATCACATTTCATCTTAGGCATACTATTCATATTTGATCTGTAAACCCTATAACAGAAAGGAACCGCTTTATAACTGACTGCCGAGTTATATTACTAATTATGCAAAATCTCCAACTGATAAATATGGAGAGTAATGTTACAGTAATAATAGGCCTACCCTTTTTTACTCTTCAATCATGAATGATTTCACATCGATACCATACGGTTCAAGTTTATAAATTTTAGTGCAGAATTGTAGCATGTAAACAGAATTTATGGAATAACTACAAACAGAAAGCCTGTAGAATCACTAAAAAAACACTTAAATATACTTTGAAGCCGCAACTGTTTCAGTTTAATTTCATGGCGAAGCGACTAACATTGCATATTAAAGACTTAAAATCTCAACTTTTTCACGTCACACTTAAGTTTGTATAAAAACAAAATAAAGATTAAAACGCCAACCTTCTCCTTGCGTGTTGGTTGTGCTGGTAATGTCCCTATACGCTCCACACTAGGCGAGGCTGACCGCTTTGGTGAAGGAGTTGAAATGTCTTCGATAACTTCTTCCCCGATTATTCCTGTCAACATGTCTATCACATTCGCAACCGCTTTGAGCTTGCTCTGTAGTTCCCCCTGCAAAAATTCCATAAATTGATCATGGTGCATACAGGAGGAACACTAAACAATATACAGATAGTGTCCAATAATTATCTAAGTCATTATTATAGGGACAAAGTTGTCATATAGACATGTCCTCCTCATTGGAAAGATTTTTTGCTGATTCCTAAATAGGTGTGCTTAAAAATTAAGGTGGATTCTTAACTACTGGGTTAAGGTTAAGGCATTGTCACGTAGCTAAAAGCAATTAATTATGAGCAATTAACTGGATGAGAGGCATTAGTCAAAAGTATAAGTACAATCTGTTTTAAAATAAGGCACTCCTACATTTGACTACTATCATACTACATAAATACTACATTTGATTTGTTTCATTGGTTGATATACATTCTAACTTAAATTTGTGTTATATCGTCAGTATAAAGAACAAATGATTAATTATGATGGTTTACCGTACCTTATGTTATGCCAGGTTCTTGAAGACTGTAGATTCTTGAGCTCGATAAATATTTTGTTACAAAGCAGCAACTCGTGACAGAGTTTGTATTCACATCACTTGTACTATTTATTTACAATATCGGTCGGCAGAAGATTTATTGCACGTGGCCGGACCCGAGACGCTATGTATGTCACTAACTGACTGTCTAGCTATTGCCCCACTACTGGCTTGGGGCATGTTTGGTAGGTCATTTGCTTGGCAGGTGTTTATGAGTTTTTTATGACAATTGCCTGACAATCAGTCTAGTCAACTAACACCACTGACATAAGTGTAGAGCCTCCGGTCCGCGAATGCACATGCCACTCGGATTCCTAGGACCGTGTCGTAAATCGTCTGCGGACCGATAATGTAAATTAATGTAAATAAATAGTATAGTGCTTTTTTAAGTGATGTGAATACAAACTCTGCTCTTGAGGATACCACACTTGTGGTGAAATGTACATTGAGCTTAAGAATCTACAATCTTCAAGAACCTGGCAAACATAACGTAAACCAACAAAGTTGAAACTTTAAAAGGAAAGCTTAACTGGGGGAAATTTAAATCCATTTTACGGATTGAAACACTGTTTTGAAATCTGCTACCCAGGTGGACCGAAACACATCTGGGATAGTATTTGCACATTGAGGAAAACAGCCATTTGCTGGCATGCTGCTGACATGTGTATAGTTTAACTTTTTTTTAACTAAAGTAAAACCATTTTATCTATTAATTAGGATTTATTTGACAACTCAGAAAACATGTCAGTCATAAGTCTAAAACAGGGAGAAGCTTCCTAATCCAATCAGGTGGTTGTGGCATAGGTATAAAAGTATAGAGGAATGGAATACAATATTGTCTAGTTATGGAAAGAACTAATCCACACTATAATATGAGGATAATAGTTGTTAGAACAAAGTATAAACAAACAATTGCTTTTGCTACCCTGTTAATATTATAGCACAATTTTAGGTTGGAATAACAAATGTCAAAATAAATTAATTCAATTACATTAAAACAATAAGAAAATACAAAATAGGAGTCTGTTTCTTTCAGGTAGGTAACCTATATTTTTTCAGTTGGTCAAGTAGTTTTCAAAAGTACTTTTGATTAATATTTAGGGTTTACTTTCACGATTTGAAAAGGCTTTACTATAAATGTTTTAGGATCATTCAAATCAAATTGATATTTATTTTTCACACCACACTGTTTTGAACATAGAGGAAAAATTTGAGTAAATAAAAGAAGACAGAGTACAAAGAGTTCTATATTTTTCTAAGCGAATAAGAGTAGTTTGGATACAGAACTAGTTGTTGTTTTTTTTTTTTTTTTTTTTTTTTTTTTTTTTTTTTTTTTTGTTCTATTTCCTCATACACTCGTTTTAGCCCCCAGGTCTAAAATTATATTACAAGTACAATGCCGCTACGGGACCGGGACCATGGTCGGAACAGTGAAAAGGTCAGATTATCTGAGGAGCAGCTTGTTTAATATTTTGCCGCGATCACTTGTAACAAAGTTTCTGTGACCGCAGAGGAAAAATAAGTTTTTCTCATCAATTTCGGGAGATGTTTATGACTTTCACACAACCATGGAAAATGGTCATGATATTACCGAAATAACATTATAACCGATAGGCGATGGCAAAGTCGGATTAAGCGAGTATTCGGACTAGCCGAGGTCAGATTAGCGGGGTTCTACTCTAAGTACAGTAGAACCTCTAATAACCATCACCCTCAGGACCGAGAGCGTAACGGTGAAGCGAAAAAACGGATAACAGAAATCCTATATAGATAGTTGATTTTAAAAAGTGTTGGAAAAAGAAGTATGCAAAGTGAATAATACATATTAATAATAATAATAGAAGAATAATTTAATAAGAATAAAACATAGGCCTACAAGAGCAATACAAAACTGTTATTTTGTATGTTGTACTTGTTGAATGTTCGTACACTCGTGCAGTGAAATAAAGTCACATTTAAAAATTTTCTAAGTAGTGAGTCAGGGTGACGGATGATAACAGAGAGTTACTTTTAAAAGGGTGACAGTTAATCAAGGTTCTACTGGTAGTTTGTATGTAGATAAGACTGGTCTGAAAGTAAGAATTGTTTAAATAAACATAGGTTTTAAGTTATTGGTTTAGTCATTTACTATTCCTCATTGTATTTTTTTTTATTTGAGGTTTCATGATGAAAATTGTTTTCCCAGATAAAAAAAAAATGTTCGTTTATCAAGTTTATAGAGTATGGCCTTTAGATTGCAAAACTTAAATGGAACTTGATCCTCTGGGATAAAGCAGGTTGTTACAAACATATTAAATTGAATGAAATTAATATTAAAGAATGGAATAAAAATTACTTACCTTTAAAAACTGATCCAGAAAGATGAAAACCTTCACTAACAATCACTGAAATTGCTGCAAAATTTTTATTCATACCACACAATAAGAACAAATAGCCTAGAGAACTATTTGAGCTCCATTAAGCCTAAATACACGTTTGCTCCTAAAATTATTAATGTGTCGAGTAGTATAAACTCCATAACAAAAATATTTTTTAAGTAGATACTAAAACTTGGAATAAAATTAATTCTAGTTGATAACAAGATGTATTTGATAAATTTATTTGCATAGCCTACAGTTTTTTCAATCACTAATACATGGGGGTGAATTTTAGGTAGTCTTAAGTCACGTTGATTGGCTAACAGGAAAAGAATGAAATATTTTAGTTTCAAAAGCTCGTGGTGCATTTGGCTAAAAGTTCATTCAAATTTACAATCATAAATTATTAATGATGGCAAAAAATAAACTTAAGATTGACTCGTAATGCCACTTACTGGCACTAAACAATTAAACACAACACAGACAATTGTTATTAACCTCAACCAGTAAAATTACCTGCAGTTCGCTATTTTTCTGTATGATTGGTTCATTGTCCGTCCGTTTCTCCGCTAAAAGCTCTCGTTTCTGTTTCATCAACTTCTCCAAATCCGCCTTTAGGACATTTTGTTTTCCGATATATTCTTTCCTTTGTTTCATCAACATCAGTTTATGTTGTTTCATCTCGTTCTCCACAGCTGCAATGGAAAGGTTGTCAATTACTTTATAATTAAAATTAACAAAATAAAAACTACACTGAACGAAATTGTACGAAAGTCTATCACTGACATTTAAACCATGTCCTCACCCATAACTGCAATAAGCATTTTACACTTATATGCCAACCCCGTACGAAGGACGGGTACTCTGCACTCTGCTAGTTATCCTATAATCTTAAACAAGTGCGTGTACGGACAAACTTTTATTTTCGTCTACAGTCCTTTTAAGTTTGTGGCTGCATTTAATAAAACAGCTGATACAGGTAATTTGTCTAGCAATCTATGAATTTATAAAGTTTCTTTGTATCATCTAACATTTGTTTACATTGATAAACGTACATAATAAATATCTTTAATTTATCAAAAATACTTATCTAATAAATAAATTAAAATGTTAAACTTAATCGAGCAAAGCTCGGTCTCCTGAAACTATGATAATGACATACAATATGTGTAGAATCTCAATAAGATATTGTGAACCAATGAATTTACCATGGTAAGTACAACCCCAGACTAACCAACACAAGTAGACTAACCATCCCATTGTAAATTTTGAAGCTCGTTTTTTGTGTCTAGTTCATGTCTGGTGACACTGATTGCTTGTGTCGAAAAACAAATTTTTTATATTATTTTAGAGTTATTTTAATGATTTCTGATTTACTGTTTTATAACTGTGGTTAAATATAACTAGAGCACGAGTTATAATTTATGATTAGATCGTTTTATTTGGTTATACGGGGTTTTAAATTACTGAAATAACAAGAAAAAACTTTTAACAAATCACGACCACTACTGTGCACCAGACAGAACTAACAATAAAACTGGCTTCAGCTGTTCCATAAGGATGGGAAATCTACTAAGGGAGTATGTTTTATCTATGGTACAACCACGATAGGCTATGATGGGGGTTTTTAAATTAGGCTATACACTTTGTCAGGAAGAAAATAATATTAGATGATATTCATTTAAAATTATTAACATTATTTGTTAGCTGGGGTGATAAATAATTAAATTTATAAAGAATTCTTTTTGGGCTAAATCGACGACTTGGTAAACATTGATGTTTTAAATTGATCATTTATTTAGAACCTTGTAACTAAATTGATAACTAAAATTAATTCTTATTAAAGTTTTTCAGAAAAAGCTTACCTTTCTTCTTGGATTCTTCCATTTCTTTTCTTGTAGGGAAATTCTGTTGAACATCTGAAATGTATACATGAGTTAAATGTTGTCTCAATTACTTTTGCAAAGCTAACTCAAGATTATAGAATATATTCAGCCTAGCTAAAAAAATTGTAGATTTTACTGTTTAATTAGTTAGACAACATCTACAGACTTAGCACAATATTGAATTTTCATTTTTCAAAAATGATTACCCTGGAACAATACAATAAAAGAAAATCTCATTAACAAAAGTTATTGAAAATATACCCATTAAATACACCCATCTTTGCATGTTATATAAAAAAGGAAGCCGATATAAATGCAGCGTTTGTTATTCTATTGTTGAACTAGAACTGGTTTATGGATAGGCACCATCATCCAGCCAGGCTGTCTGACACATCAATATCATGTATTTTCTTAAACGAGTCTTAAGTGTTTCACATATGGTATTGTAAATGAAACAACTAAGAGAAAACACAGGAAAATGTACTACATTATGTAATTTTTACAATTATCCTTGACTAACCGGCTTAAACCGGGCACCCTTTGAGGCCATATTTGAATTTGTGGGGTTGAACTGACTAATTTTAGTAACATAAAATTATGAAATACCTGTTGTATTGAGCATATTTAAAAAATTATGAAATACCTGTTATATTAAGCATATTTTAAAACTGGTCATTGTATATTATTATTATATATATTATAATCAACGATATCAATGTAGCTAAAGACTCACTAGGATGAGGCTGAGTATGTGTCGCCTCTGTGTAACTCGGTGGTCCTTCATTCCAACCTGGACCACTAGAGGGGTTGTTCTGAAATAGAAATATAAGGTAAAAATCAAAGGCAAGAGAGATTCTAGCTACATTTTAACTCAACCTTTGATGGCACAAACACAGAAATGTAATAAGGAAATATTGAAGCATGGAAAGTTAACCTACAATGATTATTGAAGCATGCAAAGTTAATCTACAATGATTTACTCATGGCTAACATAGTAAACTAACATAGTTTATCTGAGTGATCCTCACAACGAGCAGACATTCCTGTTTCTCTCATTCCCTCTTTGCTATCAGAATTAATTTTCAGGAGGGCTGTATGTTTAATTAAAACACCACTACGGAATTCTGCTAGGTAACCTAAATTTTCCTAACTTAGTAGCTTAATAAAATTGCATTAACAACTAGGAGCTCATCACTGAACATGTTTGGCAGCAAGAAATGTGAGAATATTAGTACCTAGTCACAGAACTTATAAAAAATAAAGTTCCCTCACAATTAATTGCTGGACATCATATAAAAAGATACCAATACTATATCTATGCTTATAAAAGGCTAACTTTTACCACTCACGTATATTATATATACATAAAAAAATAATGTCCAAAAAACTTAAACATAGAACAAGTAGCCTATGAACAAAAAAAAAGTTACTCAGGGGCAAATTGAAGGAGGGGGGGGGTTGAAGAAAAAACTTAATACACGAAACAAAATCAACTTAGTGAATGTTAAATTAAAGGTGATTGGTTTTACAACACTAAAAAAAGTTTGTTTGGATACCAGTGTCCATGTTTCACATAAAATAAGTGGTAGGTTAATCAATTAGACTGTTATATTTACAAGAAAATAATAAATACAATATAGTTTATATGTATAAGACATACAAAATTAAATACTTACATGTGCTGAAGGCATGTGAGGTTCAACAAGTGAAATCTGAAAGTAAGTGATATGTCATCAATAATTTAGTGTATTATAACATATAGCTAAACAATGCCTACATTACGCTGATACCCGACAGGGTAAGAAAACCCTTTAAGTCCTCCAGATCACCACTGCCCTTTAACGTATAAAAAATACTACAGAAAATATCTAACTAACCTAAAGGATAAAGCTGAACATTTTACATGTTGTGTAACATTATCAACAAACTAAGAATTGCCGGTACATGGTAAACTAAAATCACTCAACTGGTTTGGTCTTTGATGTCTTTTGAAATCTTATTTGCGGCCAAAGAGTTTAGATTTTTTAACGAGCAAGACTTTCAAGTACCATAAAGCAACGGGTATACACCTAAGTGTCTCGCGCCAGACTGTACCAGAACATTTTGATACTTCTTGGTCCATGTTTCAAAACAAGATGGATTAACACTAGGCCTACTGAAAACCCCTTAAAATAAGTGTTTTTTTATAAAAACATAAAACTAAACAAAAGTGGAAAGTTCATAATTCCAGGAGGATGTTATCGTAGAAAGTTTACATACCACATTGGATTGTGCTGGTACTTCGGGCAAAGATGGCCGAGGTAGTTTCAAGGGGATTGAATTGTGTATGATGGGTATAGCCCCGGGTCCAGGGGGTGGATGCATCATTGGAGGATAGTAGGGTTGAGGAGGAAACTGTGAGGGCGGGGGACCAGAAAATGGAAATCCCGGGGGGCGACTTCGGTCAAACTGGGGCGGCATCATCTCACGGGGCGGCATCCTCTCTTGGGGGGGCATCCTCTCACGGGGCGGCATCATCTCTTGGGGGGGCATCATCTCTTGGGGCGGCATAGTCACTGGTATCTGGTAGTTATTCTGTGGAAAACACAACTGTCATTAGCGTAGTATACAAATAGAACAAATAATACAAATGGGTCAATCCATTTCAAGTGGTCCAAAGGTAGTTGCTTCAAGATTTTAATTTTTTTTTATATTTTTATCCTTGATAGTACATATCATTGGAAGTACAAAAATACAATTATTTTATTTTTATTAAATTTTTCTACTGTATGGCGGCCATTTTTTGCTAGTCGAATGCCCGTTTTCAGCGATTTCAGAGCTCTACGTTAAATTAAATATCTCTGGTTCTACTAATCTTAGAACATTAAAATAAAAACCAATCTCTTCAGAAAGATCTAAACTTTAATATGGTAATATAGTTATGCACTTAAAACAACATATATAGGTCTAAATACCTGTTTAAAGTTTAACGCAACAATGTTACGAAAACTAATTTTTAACAATTTATTTTTTCATAAAGGCAATTGACTATGTGTTTGTTATTTTTTTATCTGATAGTTATAGGTGTGTACTCCAAATTCTCAAAGTTTCAAGTTGTGGACATGCATAGGGTTTTAAATATAAATTTTCAAAATCTTAAAATTTTCCAAAATTCAAAAGTTTGACGCTTAATATCTCTGTTGGGCATGAAAATAAAAATTTCAAATTTGGCTTAGATATAGTACTAAGTAAGAGTATTATCCTGTAATAATTTTATTTTGTGGACTCCTGGACCTAACCTAACCTAACCTAACCTAACCTGGTTTTAAAGTTATGAAACATTAAAAAGTACTCAAATAAGCATTATACGTGTAATAGCTAGGAAGCATAATTTTATATTATAATACACTATCAATGTATTTGTTTGGTAATGTTATATTTTAATAATAGATTTTAAGCATTTTGATGTTTTAAAACACTATACTTTGTTGTCTGCCACAGTACAAATCTGTGAAAGGATTGTGTTCAGGGAATTGGCAGACGTCCTTCAATATTGAATCAATATTGAAGTTCTAATTCATTTTTTGCTACTTCTTCATTGTCTACATAAAGGAATTGAATAGGCCTACCTTAAAGGTGTTTTTAACAAAAGTTAAACATATCCTTAGCATTCAAAATTTGGTTGTCAATGGTATATTTTAGACTCTATTAGTGACTTCGCTCTTTGTAGTGCCTCCTACACCATCGGAAAATATTGACTCTACTTTAAATTTATAGAAATGGTTTTTAAACTAATATTGTTTTGGTTTTAAACTCTATGTGATTTATTTTCTTTTAATTCATTTACGTTCATAAATTTAAATTAATAATACACAAGTCAGACATGTTATCTTATGGGATGTCTGGCGCTAAACAACACTACTTGTGACGTTGAAAATTCTACCAGGCCACGGCCTGGATTTATAGGTGGCCGTGGCTACACAGTATCATAAAACAATTTTTTTACTGAAATATTCAGTCACAGGTACTAAAATACCAGCTGCGAGGCATTTTTTGATACACTACTGCGCACGGAAAAAATGCCTGCAATGGTGTAGGAGGCACTACAAAGAGCGAAGTCACTAATAGTCTACAATATACCATTGACAATCAAATTTTGAATGCTAAGGATATGTTTAACTTTTGTTAAAAAAACCTTAAAGGTATTCAATACTTTTATGTAAACAGTGAAGAAGTAGCAAAAATGAATTAGAACTTTGATTTTGATTCAAAGGACGTCTACCAATTCCCTGAACACAATCCTTTCACAGATATGTAGGTACCTGTGGCAGACAACAAAGTAAAACACAAGAGTGTTTTAAAACATCAAAATGCTTAAAATCTATTATTAAAATATGACATTATTAATAAAATACATTGGTAGTATATTATAATATCATATTATGCTTCCTACGCTATTGCTTATTTGAGTACTTTTCAATGTTTAATAACTTTAAAACCAGTTGAGTCCACAAAATAAAATTATTACAGGATAATACTCTTACTTAGTACTATATCTGAGCCAAATTTGAAATTTTTATTTTCATGCCCAACAGAGATATTAAGCGTCAAACTTTTACAATTTTGAAAATTTTAAGATTTTGAAATTTTGTATTTAATACCCTATGCAAGTCCACAACTTGAAACTTTGAGAATTTGGAGTACACACCCATAACTATCAGATAAAAAAAATAACAAACACATAGTCAATTGCCTTTATGTAAAATAAATTGTTAAAAATCTCTTTTCGTAACATCGTTGCGTTAAACTTTAAACAGGTAATTAGACCTATATATTTAGTTTTAAGTGCGTAACTATAATACCATATTAAAGTTTAGATCTTTCTGAAGAGATTGTTTTTTATTTTAATGTTCTAGGGTTAGTAGAACCAGAGATATTTAATTTAACGTAGAGCTCTGAAATCGCTGAAAATGGGCATTCGACTAACACAAAATGGCCGCCATACAGTAGAAAAATTTAATAAAAATAAAATAATTGTATTTTTGTACTTCTAATGATATGTACTTTTAAGGATAAAAATATGAAAAAAATTAAAAATCTTGAAGCAACCAATTAATTTATTTCTGGACCACTTGATATGGATGCAGCGAAATTTGTTGTAGTCTTGTTACAAAACAAAGATATCAATCAAGTAGACAGCAACAGAAAAATTGGGGTTTTTTTTTGTTTGAAGTTGTCTGATAAATTATAAAAGGCTCACTATGACCTTGAATTGGTCAGACAACAAAATACTTCTATTGTGCATAGGAATAACCGAACATGGTTTTCAACTGTAGACCAATTGCATCATCTTACTTCACCATTAAGGCCTAGATTATTGATAAACAGAGGTTTCTGTAAGTTTGCTACAAAGGGAATATGTGGGAACCGGTAATGGGAGAAGATATTTGTACATATTTACATGGCTTGAGGTTCAGGTAAAAACTCCATGTTAACAGCCAGAACTTATTACTGGGTCAGGATTTTAAACTTGATGAACCATTAAGTTCACAGAAGATATTTTTTGTCTTATTTTTGCCTGACAATAATTGTGGTTTATAATTGCTCCACAAAAGAAATTTATTAATTTCTACTCATGTTGTTCATTGTTTTAGAATTTCGGACAAATACTCACTTCTGCGTACACATCCGATGTATCTCCACCAGGAGGTCCAGGCTGAGCTTGAGCTAGAGGATCAACTTGAGATTGAGATCTCATCCATTCATTTTCACCAGGTTGTCGTCCGGGTGATGGAGACAATGATATTGGAGTTTGAGACCTTCCTCTTCTTCTGCCATACCCTCTGTGTGGAGAGCCGTATCTTCTGTGAGGTGATCTGCTGGACCTCCTATAACCTCTCCGAGGGGAACGACTCCTGCTTCGGCTTCTGCTTCGTCTCCGCTTGTAATACCTGTCAGATTCATGCCGATGATGGGGAGAACGGGAGCCAGACCTGCGTCTTCGCCGGTGTGGTGAGCTTGAATCATGTCTTTTTCGGGAGTAAGGTGAAGGTGATCTCTTTCTGGGTGAAGATGATCTCTTTCTGGGTGAAGATGATCTCTTTCTGGGTGAAGGTGATCTCTTTCTGGGTGAAGGTGATCTGCCTCGTTTTGAAGGGGAGTGTCTTCTTCTGTCTGATGACGGTGAACTTTTCCTATGACTGGGAGAGTCTTTTCTTTTGTCATCTCTTCTTGGTGAGTCTTTTCTTTTCTCATCTCTTCTTTGTGAGTCTTTTGTTTTCTCATCTCTTTTTGGAGATTCTGCTCTTTTTTCATTACCTTGAGGAGGTTTATAAAGTACTTTCCGTAATGGAGAGGTTTTTTCTCTTGACTTCTCGCTTTTTTCAGGAGCACTTTGTAAATGTTTTGCATTTTCTTCTACAAAATTTTTTTTGTCAGTACTTTCAATAAATTCGGCATTACTCGTGAGAATCCTAGATGATTTTGCAAAAGAAAAGCTCAGTCTTTTTTCAAGTGTGTTAGGTTTGGATGTTGATGATGACAACGACTCATCAGTTTTAACAGCAGGAGGTGTTACACTTTTGGGTTCATTTAGTTTTTCAAGTTTCTTCAAGGTCTCTGAAAGTATGTCAATACCAGGAATATTTGATCCTGCAGATGACAACTTAGCTTGAAGTTCTTGAAAAATGCTCATTACATCAGAAGGGGGTTTTTCTTTGGGGTCTAATACATTTTCTTTCCCCCCAGTAGATGTTGATTGTTTTTCATTACTCAGAGCAGATTTCTTATCAGAACTTTCTGTCGGGAAGAAAAACATATCTTTTTCTTCTGGTGCAGTTTTATTTTCTCTTGAAGAATTTCTTCCCTTACGGAGTTCTTCATTTGGTTTTTCACCCTTTTTTAGAGAGGAGGAAACATAACGTGACCAATCTTCTTCATCATCGTTATAAAGGTCGGTTTTTCTAGATGATTGGGCTTCTTGAGCTCTCGATGAAGCCATAAAACCACCTCTGAAAGGACGGCGAAATCCCCTGCCTCTCCCTCTTATAAAGCCACGACCTCTTCCTCGTGGAAGCCGAATTCTCTTGGGATCAGGTTTTCTCTTTAACCCATCTTGTTTGCTACCACCAGCTTCCATCTCAATATCAAAAAAATCTGCATCAAGATCATCATAATGTCCAAATATTTCACTTTCCAAAAACACATCTTCATTTCCTTCTGCACGCAACTGTTCTTCTAATTCCCTGATTTCTGCATCATACTTCTTTTTCTTCTCCCTTCTTGACATCTTTGATAATATTCTGTATCCTGAAAAATAATTTCTTTTAGAGAAAACATATTTATTACAAATTATTAAGCAAGGTCGCCACTGTTTTGACAAAAATATGATTTTCTATATAAATAATTTTTAATTTATTGCGTAATCTAAAAGTAAAAACTTTATAGGTTGGTACCTATTGAATTTAATTTTCCTTTTATTGCATTGATACATTCTCATAATGTTCACAAAAATTAACTAAGCTTAAATTATAAGATTATTTTTATTTAATTGAAGTTGCAAACTTTGTAATTAATTGCATTGAAGCACAAGTTAGGGTATATGGCTGATATTTTTGGCAAAATGAATGTACTCTATTATCAGTTTAAATAGAACCAGAAAAATACCAACTTCATCATGAAAAAATTGATTTACCTATTTAACAAAATGAGAGTGGTCCACACAGTTTTTAGCATTTGACCATGACACAGCTGTTCTGACAAACCTTAAGAGATCATTCAATAAATGAAAAGTTACTAGCAAACCTGGGGCATGAAATTGTGCGCAATCTACACTCAGTAGAACCACTTTTTATCAAGATATAGGTCAACATAACATTTTTGTGTTTTCCTTGAGCTTCAGTATATGAGGGTGAAAGACCAGCAGTTATGAAATTCGGTCGGATAACTATTTTGCCCAATGTCGTTTTCCGTATCTATCTAATCACTGCCTAATTATTGTTGGTAATGGCCAGGAATATTGTTCATGATTGCACTACAGTATTAATTTATCTACGGTCATCATTTTTTAACACAAAAAGGCACGGTCAATTATGTTATTGCTCTTAATGATTGCATACATGTTCTCGTAATTATCAGCTACAGGATTGTCTAAACACATTAGATTTTGTGATATCACAATGACATTGTAACCGAATTCCGGGTGAGTTTTCAGCGTCCGATCTCTGAGACGCTTAAAAATTGAGTTGATGATCTCATTCCATGCTGTGAAAGACTTGACTAACGTGTTGTTATAACATCCCACTCGTCTATCATGAGGTACACTGGTAGGAGCTGACTAAAGTCACCGCAATAAAAAACCGTTGTCTAAAGTAAGAACCTCACTCAATTGAGAAAAATCACAACTTTAAGCTATTCCTCAATGGCCACGATGAAATTTCAAACATTTCTTTATTTTGAATCAAAGTGCTACCACCACTCCAACAACAATGACCAACGACACCTTGGCCATAAGGATTGGTTGCTTGACTGCTTCAAAACAATTACTGGTATCACAAAACTCATGGTGGACCATAACCATGATCGGACCATGGGAACGGGGTTTTACGGAGGGTTTATGGGGTAAAAATGTTGTAAGAATATAAAATACATAGTTTATAAATTTTAAATAGCCAACAACAAATAAATAACGTCTGCATCATGCATCACATACATATGCATAAACTACAAGGCACATTTACATAAACTAGGCTACACAGTCAGCAATGGCCTACATTAATGAACAGTCCAGATTAAAAAATTCATAATTGTTATAAATAGGGCTGTTGACCAAAAAGTGTTTAATCCTGTCTTTAAACTTGTTTAATGGCAGGTATTTGATTGCAGTAGGAAGAACATTGTGGACAGCTGACAGCTTAAGTGTAGTTACCTCAAAACTGTTTAAGGTCCTGGAATAATTATTGGACTTATGTGATTCTTTTGAGTATAAAATAATACGGTAGCCAAATTATTCCGAATAGGTGCCTCCAAACAAATTTTTAATTTCCATATCTTACTTTATAGTTTTTTACCTCCTGAATCCAAATTAACCATTATTTTTCGCAGCTGATAAATATTTCTCAAGATATCGCCGTAATAATATACAACATTAAGTTAATATACACATATAATATACAATAAACAAGGTAGGATGGATTACATTTACAAGTGGAATGTACTATGGGTTAAGTAAGCCAACAGCTGATTGTTTTCAATCATAGTGAAGCAAATGGAAGTGACAACTATATTAGCTAACTCTGATTCTGCAATATGAAAATCACCTGATTAAGTTTTTAACTTAGCCTACACTTTTCACTTTCTAAAACCAATACCGGTAAGTTAAAACATTTAATAAAATGTAGCCTACTATTGTTGCCAGTATTTTATTTTTAATAATGATTTAGGCCTAATGATTAATATTAGAAATTACATAATAAAATGGTGCTATTCTAACATAACCTAAACTAACCAACCCTCTAGAATGTAAGCTAACTCCTTTTGATGTCAGAAAAGGCACATCAGGGTGGTAGATCATGCTTTATGTGAATTGGTGACTGCATTAAGTCCTTTGAAGGTAGGTTAGATTAGGTAAGTTAAAGTTTAGGTTATAATTTAGGTATCAAATTGTTAGTTTATGTCACCTGCAGGCTGTTTTTGTAAAATTAAAATCCAGATAAAAACACTTCAAATTAGGCCTACTATTTAAAAAATGCTTGAAGTGTTTTTGAGGATTTTAATTTTACAAAAAGTCTGCAGGCGACATAAACAAACAACTCGATACATTATAACCTAAACTTTACCTTCCTAATCTAACCTAACTTCAAAACACTTAATGCAGTCACCAATTCGCATAAAGCACGACCTACCACCCTGACATGCCTAAATAAGAACTATACATGTAATTAGTCCACCAGTCCTATCTCTATCTCCATAATGTGACGAAATTCCTATTAGGCCTATAGAAAACATTATTGAGTACAGAATCACTTGAAATGTTTCTACAACAATGTTATTCTTCTCATCAACCATTTACTCTCTTCACTTAGGCTAACTTGAACTTGTGACGGCGTAGCAGACTAGCACTACGCAGCAATTTTTGTTTTGAGTTCTAGTTGTAGTGAAGTAAAATGACGTCACTAGGCATAATGCCGATGACAGAATCAGAGTGTGTTAATAAAGTTTATTTATTTATTTATTTATTTACCAACGGCAATACACCAATTTACAAAGATAAAGATTGAAAGCTCCAACAGTGAATGTTTGTGATTTGTGCTAGGCATTAACAACGATAAACAATGAAAAGAATAACAGTACCTAGTAGAAATTAAACTAGTAACAATAATAAATAATGAAATGAAAAACAATAATAAAGCATTAATAGTTCAAAGTTCAAAAGTTGTTACTTCCATTGTCGCTTGTCGTGTGGTTGAAAACAGTCAGTTGTAGGCTTAGTTAAAAGCTTAACCCACAATTCATTCTACTTGTAAATGTTATCTAGATCCCACCTTGTTTATTGTAATGTTGTATATATTTTTACGGCGATATCTTGAGAAATATTCATCAGCGATGAAAAATAATGGTTTTGGATTCAGGAGGTAAAAAAATATAAACTAACTAACTATAACTATAAACTAACTATAACTAGGCTATAAAGTAACTTAAGATATCAAAATTAAAAATTGGTTTGGAGGCACCTATACGGAATAAATACCATAAATGTATGTAACTTTTAATGTATGTTTTAATGTTCGATGTAGGCTATATCGTGTTTGGTAAGTTAGGTTAACCTTAACCTAACTAACCGAATGAAATAATCAATACCTTACATCGAACAAATTTTATATCGACATTTTTCATTCGAATGAGTGTAGGACATAAACTAAAGTGCAGCCAAAAATTTAAACTCCCCTAAAAATGTATAGGCCTAGGCCTATTAAGTTAGGCTACGGTACTTAACCCTTAGCAACCAATAAGTAAGTTACCTAACAGAACTTTTTAGTCAACCCTTTCAGTGCTAGGCCTTGAATAATTCATATTTTGTAAGACTTTTTTGTTTGCCTTTTAATTCCATTACCTGATGTTGAATTTTAACTGTTATGTTGTCACTATTTTATTAATTAAGTTTAGGCTAATTTTGAATAATAAGACAATAAGAAAATATATAACAAAGATAAATCTCAGTAGCCTATTTATTTATTTATCCATATACGGTAAACACCATTTTACATTGTACATACATTGCATTTTTTTACAGATGGCCAAAAAAAAAATGACGTAATAATGCATGCGTGTGACCATTACAGCTATCTGCTGCCTACACTTAGAATTAACGAAACAAAGTTGAGAAAATAAATATATGATAAATATCACAGCAAGTGGCAATAAATAGTAAAGACTAGTTAACATGCAGGAACAATAATAACAACTAGGTGTACAATGCAGTTGTCTGCTTGCAATATTGAGCGGTACTTACATTACCCTAGCTAGCCCCCAGAGAGGAGGCAACTGTCCGGTGTTGGAATCGGCATTTCAAGTAGGCCACAGGCATGGACGACTGGGCATTGGGTCCCAGTGACATTCCTTTATCCAGGATGAAAGGGGTGTTTAGCTCTAGGAGAGATGGAAGTGCATCATAATCTCTAACCTACCTGTGTCTGTGGTTCTTTGGGCTTCGGCCTGCTTGTTGTGTGCGACCAGCATTCAGTGTGGCATATCCTCGACTCTGGAAGTAGCCTTTCCTGGAGGTGAAAACGGGCAAGTACCCGCAGCTCATGGGGACACTCAAGGGAAACGTAACTTTCCGCAGTGTGAGGGCAACGGTTTGTAGGCACTTATGCAAACCAATCCCTGTCTCTGATCACGGACGGTATGGTTATCTTGAGTGTGGGGGGTTCTTCCCGGAACCTCAATTGAGTTAAGGGTGTCGCCACCTTTGGTGGATAGGTTCATCCGGGTGGGTCCCACTTCTATACCCGCCTCCTTTTGGGAAACCTTGATGGCCTGGCAGTGATGTTGGGTCTGACGGGCAAACGAAGTAGATCGGGTGCTGGGTCCGAGCCCGCCAGGGGTATTGGGGATCTATCGCTCTGGATATCTCTGGTTTCCCAGCAACTGGGTAAGGCCTCGATCGGGTAGTGGTGTAAATGGGAGGTTGGGGTTCCCCCGTTAGATTGCTGACGGTCCCCTTCCTCCTGGCTATGATGGCGGGTCTTGCCTGTCAGGGATTAGATAGGTCCCGAGTGTCACTTGCACTAACTAAATGCGTCGGGGCGCTCCAGTATGGTCCTCCAGGGTGCCGTACCTGGTGGAACCCAACTGGAGTGACGCTTAAACAAGTAGCCGGAATCCCTGGTTAGGATTGAGGGGCAACCCTCTTTCCGAAGGGTCTGTTTCGGCAGCCGGTGAGCTTGATGACCTTAAGTCATCCGCCCATGATGTGCTAAAGGTTGATGCATAAGCTTCGGCCTACATCATGGGGCCCGGGTATGTCACACGATAGGTACCGGGTATGTAGTCAGGGGGCTTCGGCTCTCATGACAAAGAAATGTAAAAAAAATGGTACTTACATTACATTTATAATAACACCAAAATAAGCAGTTTGCTTAACTTGAAACCTTAATTTTCCTAGTAGCTGGAACCTATATATTTTTCCAACTTAACTTTAGACTACTATGGCAATGTTTTAAAAACTATTTTGTAAGTTAGTATCGCAGAGTAAAGCGAGGTGGTTTTAAAACGACGTTGTTACATCTTCTCATGAATTTGGCAGAGGAACGTATAGACCTAATTTAATTGGTGATTAATTTTTTTCGAAGTGCACACAGCAATATTAGCGTTTATCCTTTGGGATTTTATTGTCTAAGTTACACCATTTAGTTTTAAACCTTACCTGTAAACCGAGTGGTTGTGATTTCATTTCGTAAAATGATTTTGTATTTTTAGCTACAAGTACATTTTGCCCAAATTTTACTTGCAAATCAAGAGCGGTGTGATTTTTATTGGTATAATTATGTTGTAGTGTTTTTTTTTTTTTATGACCTCGTTTTATCTTCTCCTTCTCCACGCAACATAGGCTTAGGCCTGATTAGTTGACTATTCATTGTTGTTAAAAAGAACAGAACGATTATACAATTAAATAAAACCGGTATGATTTTAATCACTCAATATAGAACTGATTGTTAATCAATTCGTATTACATGCAATAGACTAATATGCTCTTTAGTATTCATCCGATTTTTTTTCTTTTGTACTGTATATTTATAATGTGGTAGATTTGTTGACTAACATATGTCGAGGCTCTTGTTTACTTTTTAGTGTTAACTCGCAAATAATGTCATGGCGACCAATTAACCCATAAGGCCCATGTTAAATTTCTAAAAGTTTGCATTCATGTAGGGAAAAGCCCTATGGTCCGATTTGTACCATTTCAGATTTATACCTTCCCATGGTTGGGTACTATGACTGTGTTAAATTTCGTGCAGATCGCTTCAGCCGTTCAGGAGGAGTATTTGTAAAACAAAAGCAGGAGTGTAGTATAAGAGCTTCGCTCGCGAAGTAGAGGCTAACAATAAGCAAACCCAAAATTAACACTACAAAATAAATACATATTGTGGAGGCAAAAACAGCAAATTTACAGAAAAAAAAACAATGTGCAAAAGGTGCGGTAAACTCTGAAGAAATATAAAAACTTAACAATAAAGGTAACAACAAGACAGACCATGATATTAATTTGTAGTAAACATTGAATAAAACTTAGTTTTTGTTTTAATTTTCCTGGTTTTCCTATACATTTTTATGTTCTGATAGCATTGTTTGAAACCAAAATCTCATAAAATGAAAAGACAAATAGCCTAGTTTACAATGTAGGCCTAATATTGAATTTAACTTTGATTTAGTTGGACGAGGTTTTTTTAATAGCCATTTTAGGGAAATTAATGTTTTGCAGCAAAGTCTCAGGAACACATATTTATGATCACTGTTGTGTTTCAACTAAAAAATATCATCTAAATAGTGTGTGACTAACTGGTGCTGCTACCTGGTACCTAACTTAACTTAACGCATTAAACAACCATCTGTAGGCCTAGTGCTATCTGATTCGCAATCGGTGGCGTCAGCTTAAATACCGGTTTTTGACTCTTCAGTCTTCAAGCACAGATAGCCGAGAAGGCTAGGGCATGTGTCACTTGGCCAGTGGCATTCGTCTGCTCGGGTTCGAATCCCGTCCTGTGTGGCAAATAATTGGTGACATGTGTGTTTATAGCGATATACTACAACCACTGGGTCATAGTGAGGTGTTCATAATCCTTGGTTTAGACATACACCTAAAAATCATCGGATTGGGCGAATCTTTTAGCTAACTTAAGTGGTTGTTAACTTAGTGTAGGTACTTATGAACATGCAGGTCACCAATGGCCGTTTTGCTACTTTTTGTTAAAATAACCTTCCTCTTTAAGTATATCCCTTAGATTTTTTTAAAACAATGATAGGCTACCTATATCGTTTCATAGCACTGAAAGGGTTAACAATCGATGGAGTCGGATTCCAAAACTTCTCTAACCCTCCGAGTGTCCCTTGTTTTGGCCTTAATGTCTGCCTATTTTTTGCTCATTTGCAAGGTTTTATTAAAACGGATCTAAGAAGCTTGAAAACAATGTTACAGTAATTATACTGTTCTATATAGGCCTACCATTTTGTTTGGAAAATCATGGGCTTCAATATTATACATAAAACATAACAAAAATTTGTTTCAAAAAAATTTTTTAGATAAAAAAAGATATTATGATTTTCGAAAAAAAAAATTAGTTTGCGCTCAATGAAATTGTATAAATTTAGGCCTATAAATATTTGAAAATAAGTTTAGCCACTTTGTTCTAAATTTTATGAGGATTACAAATGTATAATAATATAAGGAAGTAGATTTGCAAATAAATAAGTTATGGGCAAAAAACAGATTTCAGTAAACTTACATAGCGTTTAGCTAAGAATGCATAGCCTAACTGTAGCTAGGAATCTGGCTGATATTTTACATCAATATCACTACCTACTTCTTCAGGATCATCAACCAGCCCTTCAAAATCACTTAAATCTTCTTATAATGCACCACGTATATCACTACTTTTGATTTTTAACACTAAAACAATGATAAACGTAATAAAACACATCAGTCATCGGTGCGAGGTTAACCAAGCTGTTTACAAATACGCACGTCAGCTGTCTGCTACAACATTTTCGGAACTAAAATGAAAAGCGCTTAGAGACAGACCTCCGGAGAAAGCTCTGAATCTGCCAAATAAAACGATACCTAACTCAATCCAGTTCAATCCGATTTTGTCAGTCATAGAGCCTTCGCCGTAAACAGTGTTTGTGAGTCGATGCATCGACACAAAACACTACACAAAGTGTGTTATGTGTCGAAGCATCGACAAATAACACTCGTAGGGCTAAAGAGGGTTAGTAGGCCTACGCCTACCATTGACGAGACATAAAAAGACATCTAAGTTAGCATAGGCCTAGCCCAGCAAGATCCAGAATAGCCACCAGAATAAATTGTTAGGCCTACCGGTAGGTAACTTAGATGTAGTAGGCTAGGAAAAACTTAGGCTATAGCTTTAATTAAGCTTGGTCGTTAAACTAATACTAAATTGCCTGACAAAAGCCTATGCTTGGACTTTTGGAGAACCTTTTTATGTTAACCTAAAGTTAGTTTAAGCTTTCTACAACAACAATCTTACCAGGCTAAGGTTCAAAGTCCAGCAATATAAAACACGGATAGGTTGGTGTTATGTATTAAATTCCATGGCCGAAACCTTTACACTACATTATAAACTTCTAACACATAAACTAGTATACAAGGACGTATCCGATTCCAACGTAAATTAAATTAACTCTCATCTTCCAGCTTTCTTTCACAAAGGTATCATCAACAACAATGTTACCAGAACAGAACCACCGAACCACCATTTGTATGACGTATGTAAAAAGAAAAAGGTCCTTTCTTTTCTTGTTCTTGTTAGTTCTTTTTTCACAAAAAAATCTGACATGGTTTACGTACCATGTAGCCAAACTGTTTCAACGTTACTTCGAAAACAGTTCCCAAAGCAAAATGATCGGACCATGGGATTGGGAACGGGTTTTACGGGGCGTTTTATGGGGGGGGGAAATATTTTTCTCATTTTTGGACCCTCAAAACACAAAATTTCCCAATTTCTCTCTAGACCTTTTTAAAAAGCTTTATAAAATGTAGTGTACCATATTCTTTGTACGATTATTAGTAACGGAAAAAATTGTAAATTTAAAATTCCTATGTTATTAATATCCTATGGAGAATATTGTAAAATATCCTCAGGGCCGTCCCTAGGGTTAGCGGCGCCCGGGGCAAACGTCGTCGTGGTGCCCCCCCCCCCCCCCCCAGTAATAGTCGCATTCGCATATTTTAATACTATGTTAATACGGGATGGACAGGATTGAATTTTTAGTTCGGGACGGGATTTTTTCCTGAGCATAAACGACAGTCTTGAGTATTGCAGTTACCAAAAAAGACAAACAAAATTAATTTTTACCATTTGTGGCACTGATCTATCAAAACCAAAAAAGGGTAAAAATTTTCAGGTATAGAAACTTGTGATTCGCGGTCGAAATGTCTCGCGGTCACAGCGTGATCGTCGGTATGACTCGCGGTCAAGGCGTTATCGTCGGTATGACTCGCGGTCACGGCGTTATCGTCGGTATGACTCGCGGTCACGGCGTTATCGTCGGTATGACTCGCGATCACGGCGCGATCGTCCAAATGACTTGCGGTCACGGCGGAATCGTCGGTATGACTCGCGGTCACGGTGGAATCGTCGGTATGACTCGCGGTCATGGCGGAATCGTCCTGAATATCCTAGTTAGCTTGTTTATGGGTATATTTTTATCCAACTTGGCAAATTGATTTACTTTATACTCTATTAATATTTTACAAAAAACACACTTGATTAGTTTCCTTGTAGCAGCAAACCTAGGTACTTGTTGAACCTAATGTTATTTAAATAGATTTGATTCAAAATCAATTCAGACAAATGAAAATTCGCTTTGGCCCCGGCCACACGAGGCGAATTTAAGCCGCGCGAAGTGCCTGGTCTCCTGGCCACACGGGGCGGATGAACCGCTTCCGGTTGGGTTTTCCCAGGATCAGTACTCTATTAAAACATAGTTCAGATCACTCTTTTTAGTAATGACCGAAACCATAGATAAAACATACTCTGTTTTATATATGCCGAAACACTTATGTTAGTTTGTGCATTAGAAACGTGTGGTTGTGGTGGTCTGGAACCAAATCTAAGCCTTTTCCCGGCACCTTCTAGAGTAGTCATTCAGTTTCTTGTCCCACAAACTTGGCTTGTCTTTGACTAGTTCTACAAGCTTGTCTGTATCAAACATTGTTTGAACACCACACAACCGGTAACAAACTAACAAACACACAAAACAACCTCAAAAACCACTGGAAATGTCCGAAGAATATCTCCAATAAGCGCGGCTGCCACGCGGTCGAACCCGTGTGGCCACTCTCATGTACGGTTGAGCCGCGCCATGTCGTCCCTCGACCACGCGAAGTTTAGCCGCGTTGGAGGGGATGACACACGCAGTCTTGAGAGTGGCCACTCGATACAGTTCGATCGCGCGGCAGACGCGCTTATATTTGATTTATTTTTCGGGCATTTCCAGTGGTTTTGGAGTTTGTTTTGTGTGTTTGTTACCGGCTGTGTTGTGTTCAAACAATGTTTGGTACAGACAAGCTTATAGAACTGGTCAAAGACAAGGCATGTTTGTCGGACAAGAAACTGAATGACTACTCCGACAGGAGGTGCCGGGAAAAGGCGTGGGTTGAAATTGGAGGAATGGATCAAATGATTTCTGTTAATAATATTTGGTTCCAGATCACCACACGCTTCTAATGCACAATAACATAAGTGTTTCGTCCATGACTAAAAAGAGTGAACTGAACTATGTTTTAATAGAGTGTTCTAAACCTTTTAAGAGCACATGCGAAACCATAGTTCGGAGTTTTTTTGTTGTTGTTGTTGTTATCGTATGTCTGTAGCATAGTTTGACAAGTTATTGAATTGCTCCGACCACATACAACTAAAGAAGATACACTCATGAGAAGTTCAATTATTGCTGAGGTCAAACCGTATCGTGTGGCCCCTCTCATAAGACTACGTGTGTCATCCCCTCCAACGCGGCTTAACTTCGCGCGGTCGAGGGTCGACATGGCGCGGCTCAACCGTACATGCGGCTAAACTTCGCCTCGTGTGGCCACTCTCATTTGATTCAATGTGTTGTCGAACCCCTTAACTTCGCGCGGCTTAACTTCGCGCGGTTAAACCGCCTCGTGTGGCCGGGGCCTTAGTCAGGATCAAAACTACACAGGTCATCACACACACCATTCTACACTCATCATTCACTCATATTTGGGTTAAAATACGCACCTAGATAGCGTCCCCATTTCAATGATTGATTGATTGATTGACGCGCGGCTTAACTCGTGTGGCCGGGGCCTTAGTCGGTAGGATTGCTGCGGCGGGGTATTATCATATGCGTTGCTGTTTTACTGTTAAACAACATACCATAGCAAAATCAACACCTGTTCTGCAGATGTGCTCTGTAAGTTTTGATGTTAGTTTGGGTGGTCCAGTTACCCGGCGAGCTTGCACTTGTGTGGGCCATGTATCAGGGGTAAGGGATTCCCATCAGTCGTCGTCCGGCCAACCCCCGCCTTCAGGCCGATCGTTACGTGTATGGGGTCACCGGCAGGCCGCCGGAAGGCCGACAGTACAGTAGTAGCATTATTTTTTTTATTTACGTTCATTTTTAAGGTCAGGCACGGCCATTGACATAGCCTAACTTTATGTTCTGTTCAGTCTTTGTACTAATATGGCTACGTGGACTAATCAGCATGTGCTAGCCATTATAAAAGAATACAGAAAGCATGAATGTCGGCGGAGGGTCAAAACAAAGGCATACCACAACAGGGACTTAAAAGATCCAGCTTATAGCAAGTTAACAAAAACGTTTTTGCCGTACGAAAACTGACTGCACACTTGCCACTAGGCGGAGAAATTTCAGTCCGGCCGGCAGGCGAATCGTTGCGTGTATGGGGACCCTCCTTTCACAGGCCAAACTGTTCAGTTTGGCCTTCCGGCCCTCGCCGGCCGGCCGATCGTTACGTGTATGGGGGGCCTAACTGGTAACTGGACCATATGGCCCAGTTACCCCAGTGAACCTGGTGTTGTTGTTTTAGTAACAATAACGTTTACCTTTAAATTATAACTAGTTTTATCTTGATGTTAGTTAAGAACAGTTAAATAAACACGTTGTAAAATTATGGCCCAGATACCCAAAATATGAGTGGTATTTGACTTTTATTTATGTTACTATCAGAGTACCCGTTCTTCGTACGGGGTTGGCTATAAGTATGAAATCCTTATTGCAGTGTTATACTCGTACTTTACGTCTGCAATGGGGACACGGTTTAAAAAAAAATGTTCTTTAAATCAACGGTATGCTATAGTATAACACATCGGCGATAGCCATAATGTCCTACCACTGCACTTAAACAATTGAAAAAAGTAGACTATTAAACATTCGCACAATATCACAAATTATTTATTAGGTTTGAAAACATAAATATTAACTTTACAATTTCCTACTTTGACAGATATTTATTATTTATTATTAATTTATTGTTTGTTTATTATTTATTATTTATTTATTTATGATTTATTTCTTATTTATTTATAATTTTTTCTTATTATTTATTTATAATTTTTTCTTATTATTCATTTATTATTTCCCAAAGGATTACACCATTTTACAATATTTATGTATGCAATATTTAACAGATGGCATTTACAATAATTGAGGATCAGACATGCAAGCTAGTTTTTCGAAACTAAAGAAGTGATAACAATAGTAATAACAAAGTAGTAAACTAAGAGAGTCTATTCTGACAGTTCTGATCACAGTTTTTTTTTGTTTACTTCATAAGCTGATGTCTAAATGCAAAATAATTCTATTGCACCCTCGTCAAGCGTGACGTCACGATAGAAGACGGCAATGACGTAATGTTTGCAGTTTGTGATCAGCTGCTTGTTTTCATCTTTTCATCTTTCCTTCACATTACGTTATTGCCGTCTTTTTCTTTTAAATAATATGAATACACACAAGGTTAACATGGAAAACTCCAGAGCCACTGGGGCGGATCCCGAGAGGATATTTGATTTGAGATAAGAATATGTGCTCTACCATAATGCCAAATTTCAGCCCAATCCGACCAGTAGTTATTGGGTTATTGAACTTAAAACAATAACAAACTTTCACATTTATAATATTATAGTAGTATCATATGTTATTATTATTTATTTATTTTACCGTACTTGTTTACATACTCTTATAACCAATGCTGTGAACATGGCCTTAGAGCTAAAATACGTATAGTTTAAATCAAAAATTAGTTTCTGGGTACTTTGGTTTTTATTATTTCACGTATTTACTAATTAATTAGTAATTACTGGTGGTAATTATTACTGATAGTTCTTCAGTTTCACTTGAGGTTCTATCGTGAAACGAATGACTTTTATGTGGTACGGCCAACGAGCACGGTACGGCTGACTCCGGGTACTCAAAACAGATTAATTCCCGTTGGTATTTGCTAGTCAGCTAGTCTCCAATCAGGTGCCTTCCCATTGGATGATTGTGAAACGCTCGTCAGACATTATGGGTGGTGGGTTATGGGAATACCTTCAACGTCCTAAATTTATTTAGCTCAACTAATAGATTTCGAGTATTAGAGACTCAATAAAAAACGTCATAGTTGCAAATAAATAATTCCGAATTAATTATTGTAGTCAGTTTTAACTGGCATAATCTCATTGAGCGTTTGAGTTTTGATAACTCT